TTCCAATTGTGCAAGAAGTAAAGTTCCACATACCTAGAAATATTTTTTAAAAGATGTATACAATTTATAAAATTCAAGCAAAAAACAGTATGAGAAAAATTAGACAAGTTCTAAGTGATGCAGAAGTATTTCTTGTGACTAGATTGGGAAACTCAATATTATTTTTCCAAAGTGACCTTTAGATTCAATTTAATATATCCAAAAATTACTTTTAAATATAAATACATCTTCAACTGTATAGAAAAGCAAAGACTAAATAAGTGTTAAACAAAACCAGACTTACTATTAATCTGTAGTAATCAAAATCATGTTACTGATATAAGAAAAAGAACAAATAAACCCTGAAAAATTTGTTGATCAAGGAATAGTTCAAAATAGATGCACACATATGCTTGTGTAGTGTCGTTTGAATGTAGCATTTTCTCCATGCTTTCCTGTATTTATACCATGACCACCCTACCACCCCACTAGTGTTTTGGGAGATAATGTGGTCTTGTGGGAAGAGCTTACATCGTTTTGGGTGTTGCCTTCAAATGAATTAGTAAATTTCTCAGGACCTTGAGGTTTTGCAAGTGTCAGTTGTTCAGAGAGCGAGTCCAATTCCTAAACTGTTCTCTGGTTTCCTCTCTCAAAATGTGATTTTCCTCCTATATCCACTCCTGATATTATGATGTCATCCACCTTGGGTCCCTTAGAAGAGCTGAGATACAGATACCTTGCCTTTGATCCCACATAGTTATTTAAGCTAATAAACCTCATTTCAAATAAAGTTACATAAATCTTGTTTTAAAATAAAGTTACCCAGCTTCAAGTTTTTTACTATAGTCATAGAAAATAAAGTAGAGTAATATGGTCAATTGATTTTTGATGAAGGACCATGGAATTTCCACAAGGAAAGAGAGTTGAAGAAATGATAGTGGCACAACTGAAAACAAAAAGAAAGAAAATTACTCTGCCTCATTGCATACAACACATAGAAACTAATTTGGGATGGTTTGTAGAATAACGCACAAGATTCTGGGCTAATCCCCAGCACATATTTATAAACTTTCCAGCACCACATATGTACAAACCATTGTGCATATAATCGAGAACTTTAATAATTATATAAAAGCAGAGTGGGGCTAGGGAGAGGGTTTAGTGGCAAGTGCTTGCCATGTAAACATAAGGACCTGAATTCCCAGCACCCACAAGAAAAGCCAGGTGTGTTGATGTGCACTTGTAATCCCAGTTTTGGTGAAACAGACACAAGTGGTCTTTGAGACTTGCTAATCAGCCAGCATGTTGTAATTAGTGAGTCCTGCATCCCAGTGAGAGATCCCATATCTTAAACCAAGGTAGACAGTTGAGGAACAACACCCAGTGTTGACCTCTGGCCTCAACATGCATATGCATGTGTGCACTTGCACACTCAAGAACATACATGCACACTTACGTGCCAGCACACATGCAAATGTAAAAATGTTCAATATCAGTCACAGGGGAATGCAAATGAAATCATAATAACTATTTCCTGCCCATTGAGGTTGGTTGGAATTTTAAGTTCTAATGACCTCAAAAACATGTGAAAATGTAGAAACACTGAAGTAGCTTTGAAGACATGTCTCTGTCAGGTGCTCAGGGACTGAACAATCTCATTGCTAGTTATTTACTAAGAATGAAAGTACATGTCCACCAGAAGGCACCACAGGTGTATCCACTGGAAGGCATCATAGTTGTGTCCACACAAGTTTGATTTATTAAAAATAAGAACTGGAACCAGTACAAATACTCATCTGTAGGATAATTGATAAAAGTATCTGGTTCCCATGAGGACTTAGCAATTTAAAAGACCTATGATATCTGGACAATGTGAATGAATCTTGAAATCTTCATACTAACTGAAATATTCAAACACAAGACTTTATTCTGCACATTTCATCCTGTAATAGGTGAACAGAACATGGAAATATATCTAAGATGATAGAAATGGGAAGTATAATCACCCACAGACTGAGAATTGTCTAACAGGGACCATGAGATAACTTTCTATGGAAATGGTTATAATTTCATTGGAGTGGCAATTATATTAATTTATAGTTACCAGAATACACTAAAATTTGTATTTCAATTACATAAATTTTACCCTAATAAGGAAAAAAGACAGGCCGGAGGACTGGCTCAGTGGTTAAGAGTGCTAGCTGCTCTTGCAGAGGAAGCTTCAGTGGTCTCTGACTTCAGCCCCAGAGGTACCCTCTTCTGGCCTCTGTGGACACTACACTCATGTGCAAACAACCCACAAAGACACTCATACAAATACATAAAAATAATGGCAATACAAAATAGGCAAGATACCAAAATAGTTATATTTTGATAGCTATCCATAATGAAGGGTAGAGTGTAAGCTCTATAATACCTCTGCTTTCACCAATAAGCTCATAAATGCCTTACCTCGGCATAATGGCCTTGTGTCTTTGCCTAAGCCTTCTGCCTCCTGCGCCTGCCTTCCTCTCCAGTCCATACCAAGCTATTGCTACTGTCTGAAGTAGGCAAATTCTTGATATCCTATTTAGAATCTTGCTTGTTTTCTTCATTACATTTTTATACCTTTCACTTCTTTTTGTCTCTTTATACTTTTTCACTAGTAAAGAAGGTTCATCTGGGAACTTTGTCCTTGTCACCTCTGCATCACTCATGTATTCCTAGAACATCACCTGGCTCACTTTCATTGAGTGTGTCGGTAAATACATTAACACTCATGTCACCTCATGTGCCAGTGCAGTGATGGGGCTAGAACATTGCTGTTTGGACCCCAGTCCTTAATGATTTAGACAGTTTCATTGTTTCTTCACTGCAAGCAAGGCAGGCCTTTACAAACTGTCACTGGAGAATTTTTGTTTAACACAGCCACTCTTTTTGCTTCTTCTCCTTTGCAGTCTTTGTACTCTTCATCTCTTTCCCAAGCACAGTTTACCAGAGGTGGCATTTCGTAGTATCCCGGATAACATTTGATCTACTCAACATCCTCAATCCTTGTGTCTTTTGTCTTCCTGTTGCTGACGAATGGCTCCCATGGACAACTGAGGGAGGCTCTTTAATTTGTGACTCAGGTCCTTCTATACTGGCCATCGAGCGTGTGACAGAGCAGCCGAGTCTCCCTCACCATGGGCCAGGGAGTAGATACTGCTGTATTTTCTGCTAGACTCTACCTTTGTCTGTTTGTCTCAGCCTGGCTCCAGCCCACATTCAGAGCAAGCCCTTCCCTCTCAGTTGAGCATGTCTAGAAACATTCTTACTCACACCCATATGCCTCAGTATACTTGGCAATCCTCTAGTAGACACTGAGGTTCATTTTAAACGTCTGTATACCATGAGAAAGGTGTTTATGCCTACCCACCGAGTGGTGCTTTGTTTTTAAAACACACATGTTGCTATGTTAATACAAGTTGTAACAGTCACAAAAACAACATTTAAAAGGATGAGATGGGAGGTTTATTATATTTATTTTGGCCCTTCAGGTTAGTTATGTACAGCTGAAGTGAACAGAGACCACATTTAACATTGATGTGAAAGACCACACTAATGTTAATGCAATTGAATTTTAACTGTATTGATAGTGGCTTGGAAACTTCTATCATTTTTATTTACGTTAAATGATGCTATCATTTAGCGCAAGCAGAATGTCTTTATTTTTCGGTCTGAAGTGCACTCTGAAATCATCTCATGTTATTTTTAATGCTAGCTATTTTCCTACAAGATATAGAGACTATTTTACAGGTAGTAATGAGATTATAGGTATTTTATAGGTAGTAATGAGATTATAGTTATATTGTAGGTAATAATGAAATACAGGTATTTCATAGGAAACAATGAGATTAGAAAAGTGGGGAATGAGAAGTATAGAAGAACTCTAGAATTGACTATGTTGGACTTTTGCTTATTTGTTTCTTGTTGCTTTGTTTTGTTTGAGACAGGGGTTCATTATGTAGCTGTGCCCAAGTTGGACTCTATGTAGCTTAGGTTAGCATCAAAATCACATCTATCCATCTGCCTCTATCTCCCAAGTGCTGGGGTTAAAGGTGTGCTCCACCATGCCTCGCAAAAAAGTGCTGTGTTGATTTTTTAAAAAATAATTACATCATAAATATTAATGATAGTTATTTAAATGAAATGTCTTCTTGAGGAATTGATTATTATTGCAGAGTGGACATGTAATACATTTATAGAGAAGTTGCTACCATGGGGGAAGCCATTTATTTTCAGATAAAAACAAGGGTTTTAAGAAAGCAGAACCTGGCAGCACAGCAGCCCTAGACAGTGTGTGGATTTAGTCTGGTGTGTTACCTTTGAGACATAAAGGAAACAGAACATAAAAATGAGCCTCGCTCAGTTTGAAGCAAACCTAATCTTTGTGATCATGGCTGTGGTCTAAATCTATTAAAGATGTTCAGATTTGGTGTCCTTGGCATCACTGTGGGGTGACCTGAATAGTGAGCAATAAACTCATGCATTAAAATTCAAGTTGGAAGATATGTGCTTAGGAAGTGAAACTGACAGTTAGTGCTTCGGTCTGTCTCTACAAAGACTCAGAGCCTATGGAAAATGACAGGTGCACTTTTAGGGAGAGAAACCCATAATGTTTTCCTATTTAGTAGGTGACAGGATGTCCCAAGGTAACACAAGCTTAAAGGGCTGGAACAAGCATGGTTACTAAAGGCTAGAAGTTTTTCAGTTCATACAAATTGAATTTTTTCATAGGCTGGAGGACTGTGGAAATCTAGTGGAGAGTGATGAAATAAATTAGCATATTAAGTGAATTTATACATTCAGGCCTGTGAGCACTTTGAATTTAAGAAAGAAATTTTATTACTGCTTGAAAGAAAATGACAACTCTTCAATTCTGTGTTCAAACTCTGTGTTGGAAGGGCTTATTTGATAAATTATATCATTTTGATGATTATCCAAAGAAATGTATTTTAAATTCATGGAAATCTTTCTTCTTTCCTGTCCTTTTTTTTCAGAATTACTGATTTAGGAAACATCAAGAGAAGATTGTATTTATCAACAGTCCATAAGGAACTGTCCTCAACCCCTCTTCATGCAAAAATCCCACTCTTCATGATCAAGCGTAAAATTGTAAGTATTACATGCCTAAAATAGGATTAAGTTTAAATCCCAAGACACTCATTTTGGGCCTTCTCTGTGTAGAAGGCCTTTTGTTAGGTACCATGATTCTATTAAAAGTGATTAAAAAGCTTGCCTTTCCTCCATGCCCCTTGATATCTACTAGATAAAAGAGTATTATTTAAATACAATGTCACCAAAGCTGTGAAGGAATCACACTAGAGAGAGATACCACCAACTCTGTAAAAGGGAAAGAATGTATTTGTTGGCCAGCTGCAGGCTTCATGCAGGGGATAGCAGTGGGTGGATTTGGGAAGCCTGTAAACGGGGAAATATAAGTGACCCATCGCCCCATGCAAAGGGACTACATGGGCAGAAGCTTGGAGGCCGCAAGTGGTACATCTCTCAGGAACAAAGGCTAGTCATCACCATTGCCAGCCTTAAAACAGCACAGCACAGCAGCCTGGCACAGCAGCGGACTTGACCTCCTGGTGACTTCAGAAGGGTCAGCTTGGCTGTCTAGTTTTTCTCAAGCTTCAGTCATATTATGTACCACCTGTTCTAGAATATGCCTGATACTTTAAATTGACCCACTTTTTAAAAGTTCAATTTATTTAGAGAGCTTCATATAAGTTGTATAAACACAAAAGTTAGTACAATCTTCCAAAATAAAACATGAATAGGGCTGGGAGGTGACTCAGTGGATAAAGGGGTCACTACTAAGCATGAGGGTTGGAGTTTGAACCCCAGAACCCAGGTTAGAGCTAAGCATGTGCAGCAACCACTTGGAATCCCAACACTTGGGAGGCAGAAAGAGAGGGCGGGGGTCCTGGGGCAGCTGACTTGTCAGAATTACAGAGCTCCTGGTTCAGCAAGTGGTAAGTAAGGAGCAATCAAAAAGGCCACCAGTGTCAACTGCAGGCCTCTACACACACACATGCACCTGCATGAAATGCTGTTATGGACAACAGGAACTTATTAAAGCTGGGCATGGCTGGAACGCGGGTACGTGATACAGAGCTTACCGAGAATGCATCATTGGACTCTGAGTTTTATCCCAATCATAGACACTCACAAAAAAAGGAAAACAGTTCTGTAGTTTGAGGAAATTGTTTTGGTAGTGAGGTCTACAACCATTTGATTGGCTAGAAAGTGAAAATGATGTGACCATTTGCTATAACTTGGGCTAGAATTCATATAGACTGGGCCGTAGTCATAGAAGAATGGATGTGAAGCAACTTGAGATTTATGTATCTAAATGATCTGAGACACATGTACACAGAGTCCATCCACATATGTGGTACCCTCTGTAAGAGTAAAAAAGAGAACTAGGATTGAGATGCTTGCTGTGTTTTTAAATGTGTGTGTGTATGTGAGGGTATGTGCATGTGTTTATATATAATTTAAACATACATGTAATGCAAATACTTTGTACAGCTTAAAGATAGGTTATTCTTGAGTGTGTGTACATATGAGCAAAGCTAAATGGACTCAATAGGGTATGTATTTAAATATTTATACATAAGCATAATGTTAATAGTATATATGGGAATTAAATAATTTGTGAGGGGGATGCAATAGTTTGGAAATGGAGATGTGATTCAGATGCAGTGCCAAGTATGAAATTCTCAAAAATTAGTAAAACTAATAATAATAACATTCCTAGTCTGAAAATTCTTGTGTTTGTTTTCTTCATCTATAAAATGTGGGTAATGAGAAGTACATAAAGTATATATACTACAAAGTTGTTGGGATTTACATGTTTTAATGATGACGCTTTCAGAAGACTGCCTGGTAGTACAGTAAGCCCTGGGTAAAGATTGGAACTGTGATTTGCACTTTAAATGCTAAAGTGAGATTGGTACACTTTAGCCCATAGGATTGTTCCTCTGTGGAAACTGCTCATCATTGTCATTGAATTTCCCAACCCCATAGCTTCTGTGCTCTGCCCTTCACTCCTGTTTACTTGCCTGTCTTCTCCCTCAGCCTGTTAGCATGTCCTGTTGAGCTTTTAGTACTCAAATACTTTCTGAACAAATTGGCCAGTTTTAATGTACCTCCTGAAAAAATAATAAGGATTTTGTAGACAAGTTATATAAGCTTTGTAATGCTCTTGGTGATTTCACAAGTATCTAGGAGTATTCAAACAAATGCAAGAACTTGCTCTCACTTCCCTCATTCTCCTCCCAACTTACAATGATGAAGCAGAAGGTTGATACACTCTCTTCCCACTGAGTGTCTATTGAACTAAAGTTGAGTGGTGTTTGAAGCACAGTTTCTTTCCCACGTGGTAGAGATGCTAAGCATATGACATTCACCCAGGACACCATCCTGAAGCCCCGCTGCCCTCCATCATTGTGATATCTGCTCTGGTTTTCTGCTTTTGGCAGGGAGGGGCCAAGTTCACTTTTTTTTCTAATTATTATCATGTGTATCTATCTTGATGGTAAGCCTCAAGAAAACATTCTAAAAAAGCGCCTCAGTTAATATTTAAAAGTTGAAATATCTCATTCAAAATTCCTGACCTCTGACCTCTGGAGATACCTCAGATTTCCTGATCTGAGACTCTTAGTTGATAAGGTACACACGTGCCCTTAGACACTTCTGCTTCACTCAGCTGTCTGCCGGGGACTTCTAGGAGTCCTGGTTCAGAGCAGAATTGGTGAATTGTTCACTTTTCCTATGTTCTGTAGCTAAATCCTTTCGGTACCAACTGGCAATAAAATTGAATTCTTATAGCCAAACCAATTTGAATATTTACATATAGGCCACTTTCTGTTTCAATTACCTTTAAATGTTAACCTTCCAAATTTATTTTCCATAGTATTCTTAATTATGAAGATTCACTTTAACCTTTAAGTTACTACAATTTATGTTTCTAACTTGAGTTTTCAATGGCAAGAACAATTTTAAAAATTAATAACCATCACCTTAAGCACTGGAAGTACCCACTTAGTCAGAACTCATTGGAATTCATTTCACTTCTTCGATACTACAACTTTCGTTAGATGGTGATAGTGTAAGATACAAATCAATGTCTTGCTACCAAAATGTGCTATAGTGTATAATAAATTTAATTCTATTTGAATGGGAAGCGAATTATGAGCTGTTGCTCAGAATGAATCGCTAGAGATAGAGCAGAACAATGCGATAAATTACTATGCCAAATCTTTTAGCAATCTTCTCAATTCAGGCATCTTGTGTTTCTAATTTAAATGGATAAAATCATTCCTTAGGTGATGGGGGATGTTCTGTCTGTATGCTGTTAATATAGGTTTCTCTTATTGGTTGATGAATAAAACACTGATTGGCCAGTAGCCAGGCAGGAAGTATAGATTGGGCTACCAGATGAGGAGAATTCTGGGGAGAGGACACAGAGAGGAGCCACCAGAGAGACACCATGTAGCTACCAGGAAGATAGCATGCACCGGGTATTCTCTGGTAAGATAAGGACATGGAGAAATACATAGATTAATAGTTATGGGTTAATAATTAAGAGAGAGTTAGCCAGTAAGAAGCCTGAACCATGGGCCAATCAGTTTATAATGAATATAAGACTCTGTGTTTATTTGGGGCTAAACGGCTATGGGACCAGGTAGGACAGAAACCCCATCTACCAGCAAAGGATTACCAGACTATAATCCATATATTTAGAGAAGGTAGGAAACAAAGAGGATCCTAAGAGAGACATACATGGTCTTCTGGAGAAGGGGAAAGAGACAAGATCTCCTGAGAAAATTGGGAGCACAGGGCATAGGGAGGGAAGAGGGAGTTAGGAGAAAGAGAAGGGAAGAAGAGGAGGGGGGAGGAAGACATGAGGGACCAGGAAGATTGAGTCAGGGGAAGAATAGAGGAGAGTAAGAAAAGAGATACCTTAATGGAGGGAGCCATTATAGGTTTAAAAAGAAATCTGGCAGTATGGAAATGTCTGGAGATATATTAGGATGACCCCAGCTAAGAATCTAAGCAATAGGGTAGAGGCTATCTTAAATGCCCTTCCCCTATGAGATTGATGGCTACTGTATATGCCATCATAGAGCCTTCATCCAGTAGCTGATGGAAACAGAAGCAGAGACCCACAACTAAGTACTGAGCCAAATTCTTGGAATCCAATTGTAGAGAAGTAGGAGTGATGACCAAAGGGGTCAAGAACATGCTGGAGAAACCCACAGAAACAACTGACCTGAACAAGAGGGAGCTAATGGACCCTAGACTGACAGCTTGGAAGCCAGCATAGGATGGAACCAGGTTCCCTGAATGTGGGTGTCAGTTAGGAGGCCTGAGCAGTCTATGAGGCCCCTGGTAATGGAACAGCATTTATACCTTGTATGTACGAATAGACATTGGGAACCCATTCCACATAGACGGATACTCTTTCAGCCTAGATGCACGGGGAAGGGCCTAGGTCCTGCCCCAAATGATGTGACAGACTTTGATGATCTCCCACAGAAGGCCTCACCCTATCTATAGAGCAGAACAGGGATGGGATAGGGAGTTAGTGGGGAGCCTGGGAGAATGGGAGGGAGCAGGAACTGGGATTGATATATAAAATAAGATTGTTTCTAATTTAAATTTAAAAAATGAAAAGAAAAGAAACCCTGTCTACACTTGGAACTTGTACCTTCTTTAACTTAACTCTGTTGGCATTTGTTATAGTTCATAAAACAAGCTAGAGCTCTAGTATATTGCACCTAAAACTTCTCAAGAATACTCTTACCTTTTCCTCTAACATCATGCTTGCCATTGAGCCAATGTTTGTGAAATTCATGAATCAGGTATAAAACAGGCAGGCTTGCTTATATATAAGGTTATCTAGGATACATACATCAACTAGTCTCTTAAAATCTTCATAACCTAGTATCCACTATAATATTTATGACATTTATTTAAGGATTTATAACTGTTTTATCTCACATACATGAATGTGAATTTTTAAATATCCATTTCTCTTTCTACTTCCTGTCAGGCTAACAGGTACTGAATTTATTTGAGGAAGGGAGAGCTATCCTCTG